GCAGGCGGTGGCAGAAAACCCACGCCATCAAAGCGCATTTGTTCAGGTCCCGGGGCTTTGCCACCCGCGCTGGGACTCGGCCCCATCGGCCAGCAGCAGCCATCTCTGCTCGGTTCTCTGCCCGGGCTGACGAGCTCCGCGCGCTAACACGGCGGCTACGACACCTCGGCAGAGCCCCTCTGAGCGTGTGAGCCTGGGCACTTCAAATTTATGTCCCAAATCCCTGCTGGGATTAAAAGTAACTCTTCAGCTTTCCATCTGCACAAATGCTCTGAAGGAGAGGAGGGGGTCAGTCAGCCAATTTATCTTTCAAATCGGGGATAAAAATTGACTTGTCATGGCAGAAAATTCTACCAAAGACTATTATTGTTGATGGATTTCTCCATGACAGAAGGTCAGATAAGCAAGAGCAGATAGATACCGAAGATAATGAACTTCCCCCTACTAGCATTAAGCACAAATAAAATATGAGTCCCTGTAAACCGAATGTTACGTGAAGAATGGAACAAAAATTCCAACCTTTCCAGGGTGTCCTTCAAACCAAATTCACAAATACATCTAGTGACTGACCTAACGTCTCTACATCTCTAGCTACATTCCTACCTTCTCATAATACCTGAGTTTGCAATGCAACACATTCACTTTACCCTGTTTAAAAAATACAAGTCATTAGAGGACTTGGTGCAGAAGATATTAAGAACAACTGTCCAGTGAGCTAGATCCTGGTTCAGTGTATCAGCGTCTTCCTTACTTGTCAGCTTTGTAAGGCTTTTCTACTCCCTGCAACAAACGGGATTTTGTTACCGGATACTGTCGCCAATCAACCTTTGTAAAATTTGCTTTACGCAAAAGAAAGCAGAACGCTCTTGTCCATTCATCAGCATAAATGAATTTAGGTTTTTTGGTGGTGGTGGTGGTACAGCATTAGTCTTGGGAGTCTATTTTGGATAAACACAGAATACCTAATAGATTATTTTTGTTGGGTATTTGGCAATAAGATGACCACTTTTATGTACACTAATTAAAACAAACTCTTATTCATCAACAGATTATAATAATTCAGTAACTGTAGAATAAAATTACTCCTATGCAATTTTAACAATTCCTTGAGTGTAGAAAACAGCAAGCCAGAAGATAACCCGTAATAAAAAGATCATATCAAGCTATTTGGAAATTAATCTTAAAAGCTGAGAAATACTTTCTAACTTACAAACAGATATACTAAAATCTTCCCATTCACACTTGAGGTATAGGCTGTATGCAGAAGGCTTTCCTGAGAAATACGCGCTTGTCTCATTTTACAGTCAGAAAGCGAACGAGATTTACGGAACCACCCTTGGGTGGTGAAGCTCTAGCAAGCCGAACTGCTGCTGGGCCCAGCAGCTG